CGCGCAGGCCGGGAGCTCGCGCGCACGCCGCCGGGTGATCGCAGACAGGCAGGCAGGCAGGCAGCTGAAAAAAAACCCCTCTGGGGTCCTTGGGTCCTTCCTGGGTCTGTTGTCGCGCAGGCCGGGAGCTCGCGCGCACGCCGCCGGGTGATCACAGACCAGTAGTCACCTTTTTGTGTCATTCTATTCAATAGCCATTTGTTGACAAAGAAGTGCCAAAACTAGGACCAAATTTTGACATGTTGAAAGTATAATAATAAAAAAGAAGAAAATGATAAATACAAGTCTCTGTGCCCTTGATGAGTTCATTGTCAGAGAAGGGTTACAAAACTCTGTCTAAAAATTTCACAGAACCTAAGTAGCTTATGTGAGGAAATTCATGCATCTCATACAGGCAGAGAAATGAAGATCTTCATCACATGGTAGGGAAGCTGGTAACTAATCGATATTGATTGAATTAAGTTAAAACTGCAGAAAGACTCACACCTTAAAGAGGATTTAAATACCATGTTTTGGCTGGGTGTGGTGGTGCACACCTGCAATCTCATCTACGTAGTGAGTTGCAGGCCAGCCTGAACTACATAGCATAGCTAGATCCTGTCTCAAAAATAAATAAATAAATAGCTAGTGTGTTTTGACAGATACACGTGGAAAAACAGTATGATCCTGGGCTTTAAGGAGATCTATAATGAGCAAGTGTGTGGTTTTAACATTTCATAGAGGCATATTCAGGGAAAAGTCAGGTTGGTTTGAGCTCAAGGTATGTGTAGAGGAAATGTCAGAGGTCAGAGTGTACTGAGAACCATCAGGATTGTTCCAATCCTATTTTGCTGCAGATCAATTTTTCTTGGGACATATTACGGTTCTCATACAAAGGAAATAGACCACTACTGTGGCCGATCACTGAAAAGCCATCACAACAAAAGATACAGATTCGGTTGCATCTTATGTTAATATTGTGAATTCTTCACTTTCTTCTCCACTTGAGCTGGAAAAATTCAAAGCACCTTCCATGATTGTTCTAAAGACAGATGTCCAGAATTCATTTTAGGTAACTCACCTCTGCCCACCTTGACTTTTAAAAACCAGACCTTTAAGGATATATCTCTAATGGAAGTTGTCACACTAGCTGCCCTGTTTGAGAAATCATATGGAACATTAACCTGCTTCTAGCCCTCTGCCTGCTGCTGATGAGTCCAACAACTCATGCATGAATACTGCCAGAACTTCACCCTTTACCCAGCAGCTACATTTCAAGCACAGCAAGAGATCTGCTTTCCTAACCCCTTTCTACATTTTAGGTGTCACTCAGGAGATACAGCATCATGATAAATCAGGAAAACTGAATATTTTATATATGCCAGAGTAAATAGGGTGTTTTTTTATGCACAGAAAGAAATTGGTACAAGGTGCCATAGGGAGAAGAAGCTTTTAATACTGCATGCATTCCTGTTTTAATCAAATTGAAGTTTTCATTTATATTTAGGACTTATAAATATAGCACTCTAAATGATGTTGATTTGCATTTGGTTTCTCAGCAAATATAGCAGAATTTTAGGAAAGTGAAAAAAATCTCAAACACTGCATTTTACATGATATAATGTCACATTAATTGACTACATGCTAAGTTCAGTGATTAAATATCACTCTCAGAAAATTAAAATTTAAAACACACAAATTTCAGAAGTGGAGTATTTGTATCTGGGATGTATTTATCGCTTAAAAGTTGTGTTAGTTACTTTTCTCTCATTGCTGAGACAAAATACCCAATACCCAATGATATAGGGGAAAAGGTTTAATTGGCTTATGGTTCATAGAGGTTTCAGTCTGTAATCAGCTGGCTCCAAGGTGGGGATGGCAAACAGGCATCACAGAGGAGAAACAACATGGTGCACACAGGGCAGCAAAGGCAATAAAGGAATTTACCAGAGCCTTTCTGCCCATTTTATCTTATTCAGGCTGCCGGAATTAGTACAGTGCCAAACCAAACACTCACATGTAGTGGTTGAGTAATCACATGCCCTTAATCCTTACATCATACACTCTAGATTCACCCACCTCTGAGGAAGACTGCCTGAGGCTTTGGGGGGACATTTAGACACAAGCCACAACAAAAGTCTAGTCTACTAAATTGCATAACTTCCTTCATATCAAAGGAAATTGAAGAGACCAGTTGACAATAACAATATAGAATAGATCCTCTGACCTTAGTCATTAGAGTAAAAAATTATCCTGTGAGTCAATTAAAATGTTTTAGCTCAAGACACAGTACTTAGTGTACTTTGAGGACTACAAAAGAACTGTGACTACTTCTGTTCCCATCCTCCAGCCTGCGAACATTCCCTAGGTCACCGTATTACTTGATTTTCTACATTTGCTGTTGGACATTAAAATCACCAACTTTTACTCTAGGCACTGCGAGATTGAAGCAGAAAGGCTGCAGTGAATGTTTAACATAGATATCGCCAAATGTAGGGCTTGGATTTTAAATGTGTGTGCTCAAAATTTTCAGATTCTATATTTTTTTCTCATTGAGTTTATTGGTACATTTTAGGTACACAGTACAGTTACACTCACCATTGGTATCTTGTACCTTTACATGACAGGTCTTGCTTCGCATTTTTTCCCCTTGTCCCTGCCCTCCCTTCACCCCCTCCTCCCCTCCCCATTTACAAACACTTTATTTCCATTGTTTCATTTTCTCATATTTTTTCTTTGCCCTTATTTCCCCTCCCCTCCCTTTCCCACTTTCCCTACATTTTTAGCCCTTTTCTTCCTGTTTCACCTTGTCAATTATACCATTCAGATTCTATATTTTGATTGACATGGTACCTTCAGCTTGTGAGGTCAGGTCCCTTGGGGAACTTGTGACAGTAATGTACGAACAAAGAGAATGCCTAACAGCATGCAAATTGTTTACTATACATTTTTACTGGTTTCTCCTTTTCTCCTTTTTGTTATTTTTTCCACTTTACCAAAGTTCCATATATCACTGTGAAAACATTAGTAAGTAAAATGAGAACCCCAACTTCCATACCCCAATGCTTTTCTGGAAAACTTCGTAATTGGAGGTTACCATTGTTAACAGCATGGTATAATTATACTTTTGTATGGTCTTCTTTGCTTATATTTCCTTCCTTGTCTGTCTGTCTCTTTCTTTCTTTTTTCTATTTAGGTTATGAGAATGAGTTAACAGAATATTTTCAAATTGCCTTTTAAAATATATTAATGTATTAAGGATAACTTTCCATATTTATTTGGATAGAATTATCTAATGCTTTTCATATTCCTTATGATGCATATTAACGTTTAACTTAAATATTCCTCCTATGATTGAAACTTGGACTATTTCTAGATTTGTCTTGAAAAACAAAGATCCATATGGGTATAATTGTGCTCAAATTTGTGACTAGTTGTTTTAGTGTAAACTTGTTATACACAGTAAAAATATTTTGAGTACTGCCAAATTAAATCTAAAAGCTATCCAAACTTACATTAGCATAAAATGTATGAAGATGTTTAATTTCTTTTTAAATTCTAATATATTCTTCTGGCAAACCTGAAGGTTAAGATTTTATATCTAAAGCTATTTTTATTTGAAATTTATTTGATTATTAGCAAAATTTTAATAGACACTTTATATTTTATTCTGTCAATTTTTGTTGATATTTTGCAGCATTTTTCTCATTAATTTCTAAATAATATTGGTATTAATCTCTTGTCAATTACATATGTTTCAAAAATATCCTCTTACTTTGATGTCTTTTCATCTTCAGTTACACATTTGTTAAAAGGGAGAATATTTTTCTGAAATCTATCAGTCTATGATTTCTCATATCGTCGTATCTTTTTTCTAATATGGAATGCTTTATGAATTTATTTGTCATCCTTGTGCACGGGCTGTACTAATCTCCTCTGTATCTTTCCAGGTTTTAGTATATGTGCTGCTGAAGTGAGCACATCATATTGTCATGTCTTGCTTGGGAAGTTCCAGTGCAGTTAAAAATTTATATATTCATTTAGAACATTTGCAGTTTGTATTAATGCATATTAATTATGCAGAAGTTTGGATTTCATTGTGATATTTTCATACGTGCATATGACACATATTGACCATAACCATCCCCTATTTTCCTTAGCTTACCCTCCCTTTCTCCCTCACCTTAAATTTCTTTTTTGTCCAACAGTCTTCCTTCTACTTTTTTCCCTTATGGATAAAGGGTCCAGGCTCACGTCTGTGGCACACCTTCAAGGCCCACACCCAGAGACTCAAACAAGACTCCTATTTTTACAAACCCAAGATGCAGAAGCGGATATATGATTCAAAGTGAAATCAATAAAAGAAAGAAAACACTTGCTTTGAACAGCATTATAGGCCAAATGGACTTAACATTCTATTCAACAATAGAAGAACACACAATATTTCAAGTGCACACAGAACAATCTTGAGAGTAGATCATATTGTGCTCAATGAAACAAACCTTAACAAATTTAAGAAAATTGAATTTGTGTGAAGCATATTTTCCAATCTCATGGAATTAAATAAGAGATCAATAACAGGAATAAAATTGAAAAATCTATAAATATGTGGAAGTTAATAAAAATGTTCCTGGAAAACAAATGTTTCAAACACTAAAAGTAAAATGAAAAGCAACATAACAGAATAAATGAAAACAGAAACTCAACATACTGAAACTTATGCCATCAACGAAACAGTTTTAACACGGAAGTTATTGCAATAAGTTCCTACATCAAGTATATATATGTGTGTGTATATATATATATATATATATGTGTGTGTGTGTGTGTGTGTGTGTGTGTGTGTATCTCCAAGAACAAAATTTTAAATGTCAAGAAACTGCAAAAGAATAAACTAAGAAGAGATTAATAAATATTAAAGCAGAAATGATGGAAAAAAGATTGAATAACATAGAAAAGATCTACGAAAGGAATAAACAAACCTGGGATAACTTGAGCTAGAATAACAAGAAGGACGAAAAAGAGGACTGAAATAAAACCAGAAATGAGTGAAACAACATTATAGTTCATACCACAGTGCTACACAGGACCACAAGAAACTACTAAAATGACTGCATGCCAATTATTTGGATAGCCTAGAAATAGACAAATGTCTAGAAACATGTAACCTCTCAAGGCTGGATCAGGAAGAAACAGAAAATATCAGGAAACCAATAATGAGTAAGAAGACTTAATTATTAAGCATCACATTCCAAAAAAGATAATTATAGAATCTGAGGGCTTTAATGGTGAACTCTCCCAAACATTTGTAGAAGAATTAACACAAAATTTTTTAATCAATCCAAAATTGACTAGTAAAAAGACTTCTAAACCCATTTTATGAGAATAGCCTTATGAACCACCAAAGCCAGGCATGCATAATGCAAGATAAAAGAAACACTACTCAGTATCACTGATGAGCACAAACACAAAATTCCTCTACAAAATACTAGCAAACCAAACTCAACAATTAATCAAAAAGATCACAAACTGTCATCAAGTGAGATTTCTTCTTGGGAAACAAAGTTGTTTAACATATACAAGTCAATAAATGCAAGAATCTATACAAACAGAAAGAAGGCAATTACATGATGATCTCAAGAAAAGCATAAAAATCAGTAGACAGACTATCTCAACATATTAAGTATAGAGGGAAAAATAGTTTTGTACAGTGAGCTCATAACTAACACTTATGCAAAGGCAAAATGTGAAAAGATTTTTCTCTCTGATCAGGATTATTACAAACATGTTCATATGCACCATTTCTGTTTGGCATGATAATGGAAGTATTAGCAGGAACAGTGAGGCAAGAAAGAAAAAGAAGCCAAATCACAAAGGAAAAAGTTAAATATTATATGCTTGCACATATTAATTCATAATGTATACTAAGATATCATGTTCTGCATCATATATATATATATATATATATAGTTTTGGTTCTGTAATTAAATTAATATATAGGTAAAAATTAACAGTTACTTAGAGATGTACAAACAAAATCAAAAGAATAAATGAAAAATCAAAAAGGCCAAATGAATTGTTTTAATGAGCCAATATTTATCAATTTTATCAAATGTTTAATATAAGTTGCTAACTGAGAAATGACCATGAAATTTAACAACATGCTTATCATCAGTGATCTTGGCAAAATAGTCTTTGGTGGATTATTAAGGATAAAACCCCAAATTAAAGAAGTTCAACCAGAATGGTTGAAGCGTATAAAGGTAAGACAAGGCAAACAAAATGCAGAGATAATTAGAAGGAGAAAGAGCATTGAGAAAAACATTTTTTCTAAGATATGAGAAATAACGGTGTATTTGCATTCTGATGAAGAAAAACTTACAAGCAGAGAAAATAATATTGCAGGTGACAGGGAGAGGCTTGCTAGAACAGTGAACTCACTTAGGTGACACATGATAGAACCCTGAGAACAATGCAGGAGCTGGCAGCTTCGTAGGTAGAAGTGATATAGCAGTGTGGAATTCTTGTTCTACTTGATTGTGTTTCTCAGGAAAGAAACAAGCAAGGCCATCAGTAAAGTGTAAATATAAATAATAAGTATAATGGGATTGGCTTAGAGAGTGAAGAATGGATTAGTAAATACGATATAGATGCAATGAAGTATACAGACCATTTTGAAGTGAGTAGACACAAATTTAAAGAAGAAAAGTCAGCACAGTTATATAATTTTTCCAAACCACTTTCAGTGCTGCACGTTTAGACAGCAAGAAGTTGGTGATCTAGGCTTCCTGAGATTGTGATTTTTCTGTGAGTGTACAATGAAGCAAGGTAATACAGAGGTGGGGTAAGTCTGCAAAACCCAGTAATCACAACAGTAGGCTGTAGAACTGAAAGGTACTTAAAGAGGGAAAAGAAGCCGGCAATGGAATAAAGATAGTGAAAAGACACTAATGTCAATGGGCTACAGATACGAGTGAGGTCAAAGAATTATTCAAGCTAGAGAAGTAAAGAGAATAATTTTAAGCATTGGAATGTGGCAGATAAACTGCAGAGTAGCTAAGACTGATACTTGAGAAGAAAACATTTAGTAGATAAAAAAGAAAACAAATATATTGAACAGAATAATTCATTAGGATGATACTCTATGTGTATATTCAATCTATATGGTACTATTATTATCACTAATGATTTTGATGAAAGTAACACTGGAAAGAATATCCATGTGTCAAGAATCCAACATTTCTAAGAATAAAGAAATGTTCCTTTTTATATCAGATATTAGCAAGTAACTCTCACATACAACTGAATAAAAAATATCTGCAATAGTCTCACAATTCTACACCTTAACTATATCCAGGGTTTTAGGGAAATAAAATGAGTAATGGTGTTGAAATGGCAAAGGAGCTGGCTTCTTAGCTTAAAAGTACAGAGTGTGAGAGAGAGCACAATCACCAAGAAAAACGACTGGAGAGGCGCTTTTCTCTAAGAGGAGAGCTTACTTTGCTTTAGAACTAAGAAACACAAGAGAACTTACAGGGGTAAGGTTCAAAATGGGGAGGAGTTTTGCTAAGGACACCCAGTGTAGTTCAGGAGGCACAGTAGCATGTCTTCAGGAACTCAGAGTCAAGAAAGGGTTTCATAAAAGACAGTGTGCTAGTTATATAAACATTAAAATCGAGGATGCCATTGAAAATTTAGTGCCTGATGGAAACTTATATAAATAAATGAAGAACTTAGTGGGATTAGCCCTAGTAATCTAGAGATAAAATTATGAAGGCTGAATATCTTAACAGAAGCATGTATGTGTAAATACGCCTTAATTTTTTAAAGTTTGAATTTAGAGGCTAGAATAGAGACAGTCTTCTCTTTAACACATGGTTTCAGGACTTTCTTTTAAATAAACTTTGTAAGGAAGCCAGAGGAGAGTTGACTTCACACTCAGAATAATACCTCTGGGGCTCAATCTTATTTCCTAAAGACAGTGGTATTGATACAGCATAGAGGTAGTGGTTCTCTTGACTTTCAGATCAGAAAAACATAGGCAGGGTAGTTTTAATTAAATGGCCTGAATCCTGAACAGGAAATAGCATTCAAGTAAGGGAAGAAGGCTGGAGAAATGCAGTCTGAGCTGGGCAATGACAAATTATTCCACTGAATAACCAAAAGAGAATGCATTAAACAAAACCAATGAGGCTTCACACAAAGATCTCTAATTTAAAGAGACATGTAGAAACTACAAGAAAAGGCAAGGAAATCAAGGACAAATACATCAAAAACTCTATGAATGCAATTGATGGGGTTGAAAAGGCATAGCAGGAGAAGGCAGATTTAGGGAGATTAGATTTTTATCAGTATGTGCTGTATGCATATATAAAGAACACAGTGAACCCCATTAATATGCATGATTGATATGTTTTAAACAATAACATAAAGATGTTAAAGTTTATGAAGACTAACTCAAAGAAGCTCTGAATTTATAAAGTGCCGAGTATGAATCTGAAGGTCATTACAGACAGTAAAGATAAACAAGAGGATGGAATAGTGGAAATGGGGTGTGGAATAATAAACTCATGGCTTGAGACAGATTGTCATTCACATTAATACTTATTGAGCTAATTTGTGTGGAGTTAAAGAGAAAAATAAGAGTCTATTTTCAACATTAATTCAGCCAGCAATTCCTATCTGAGTTCCTAATCTGTGGTGGATATTAGTCTCAGAAGATAAGTCAAGGAGCAAAATTTACTTAGACATTGCCATCATGCACAAGTAATAGATACAGTAATGCACATGTACCTATTCCTTAAGACGAATAGAAACTTCATGCACTGCAAACATGCAGTAACAATGTAATTTTTTTTACTTTTATTGGTACATTTTAGGCATACAATATGCTGGCATTTATCGTTGGAGATTTGCATCTTTACATAATCCATCTGATTCTTATTTTCCCCATTCCCTTGCCCTCTCTTCAACCCCTCCAA